CCAGTCCAATCCTTGCTCCAACCCTGCCGTGGTTCCCAGCCCATGGCACTGATGCCACATCCAGTCTGTCCTTAAACACCTCCAGGGACGGGGACTCCACCCCCTCCCTGGGCAGCCCATTCCAATGCCTGATCACTCTCTATTTAAAAAATTTCTTCCTGATGTCCAACCTGACTCTGCCCTTGCCCAGCTTGAGGCCGTGCCCTCTTGTCCTACTGCTGGTTCCCTGGAGCAGAGCCCGACCCCTCCGGCTTCCCCCTTCTGGCAGGGAGTTGCAGAGAGTGAGGAGGTCTCCCCTGAGCCTCCTCCTCTCCAGGCTGAACAATCCCAGCTCCCTCATGATGATCTGCTTTGGAGGAAAGACACTTGGAGAGATGGGAGTGTGAAGGGATGAATGGGTGGACATTGTGCAGGTTGCAGCTCTGCTGATGGGACAGCACATCCTGCTGTCATGGTCACCAGGAGGAGCCAAGGGTGGCTCAAGTTTCCCTTATAACCCCGACTCTTGGTGTCACCTCGCACCACCTGAGCAATGTGGGTGTGTCCTGCTGGCTGTGCACCCCCACAACCTGAGTTTTCATCCCTGTAGATCTCTACACCACAATTCCCATCACTTTCTCATCGTTTCTGTCATGCTGCAGCCTCACGGAGGAACACTGTGGTCTTATTGCCCTTGCTGCTTCAGCACTTCCATCCACCCTCACCCTTCCTTGGTAGCTGGGGGTCTTTGAGGAGATGTGCAGCACTGTCCTTCTGAACAGGGGAGGTTTTAGAGGGTCCCCTGTATAATCATTTTTGGAAGATGAAGGGGACAGCAGCCTGGTGTAGATCCACCAGAGTGAAAGGCAGGGAGAGCTAAGAGGGGAAGGAAGCAGGACCAACTCTGGCTTTGAGGTTTAACTCAGGCTCTCTCTGTAGCATCTCTTTAGTGAATCCATGCACTGGTGGGTGCTGCTCGCTGGCCTTCACGCTGCCTTTTCACCACCCTGGTGTGCTGCCTCCAGAGGGGACTTTGTGGGGCTCATTGGAGGCCAGACTTACCAGCCTGTGCTGAGGGGCCGCAGCAATGTGGCTTTTTCGTCCACTCATCACCATTTGGAGCCCTTTACTCACAGAGAATGACCTGGAGCTCCAAATCCCACCCTCAGACTTGAGCATTTGGTGCCTGTGTGGGCTTGGCTGGTTTTTGATCACTGAAGGTCCCTAAAACGCATATGTATTAATGACTGGCCATTGTTATTCCTCTGATAACCATCCCCATGGTGCAGGACAGGGGAACAGGGTCATTGCCTTCCTGGCATCCCTGCAGCCTTCCCCATTCCCACAGAAGCACAGAATGTGCTGAGTTGGAAGGGACCCACAAGGATCATTGAGTCCAACCCTCAGTCCTGCACAGGACCATCACCAGGAGTCACACCATGGGCCTGAGAGGATCATCCAAACACTCCTTGAGCTCTGGCAGCCTTGGTGCTGTGACCACTGCCCTGGGGAGCCTGTTCAGTGCCCAGCCACCCTCTGGGTGAAGACCCTCTTTCTAATATCCAACCTAAACCTCCTCTGACCCCTGAATCTGTGTGACCTTCTGAATCTGTGTTGTCTCATCCCGCACAAGCCTCTGAACTCCACGTTGGAGGACAGAATTTGGTGGGTGCTGTCTGATCAGGGGGTTCTGCAACTAAACAGCGATGCCTCCCCCCCCTTGGGACAAACCTTTTGAAGGATACAAATTATGAAATTATGGAAGTATGAAATTATGAGACTCATAATTTCCCAGCACGCAGCCTCTTGTCCTGGGCCCAGCTGGAGAGGAGCTGTCTGCGGAGAGCTCGGGTTTAATTCACTCCCTGGCTGTATCATCTGCTCCCACGTGCCAGTTGCCATTAGAAGCCTCTTCTAGGATGTCTGAGAGCTGTCATTCATTACACACAGAAACTATAAGATGAAATCTATAGCTGCAGTTCAGTGCAGGGTAATTCACCAGGGCTTGCCTGGTGGAGCCGGGAGCTAATGCTGTTAAAACACGACTCTTCCTGCAGAAAGCAACCCTTTAATGACTCTCAAATGCAGCTTAGACAACAACTACACCACTTACATCCTCTCCATAGACACAGACTCTGCTAAATGGATTAACTGCTTAGTGAACTCTCCCGGTGTGGTGGCCAAGCTCCGACCTTATAATGGACCAATTAAAAGGTCATCGTTACTTATGGTCGCAGCTTCCTTCCAGAAGAGCTGCCACACTCCCCTCTGGCACTGCAGGCCACCAAAGGCAGCTATTGACAGTTTAATGTGCTAATAATGGAGCAATAAATTAATCTTTTGGATTCCCCTTTCCTTTCTGGAAAGCACCAAAGGGTTAATGTCAGAGATGGCTGCAAAGGAAGCACAGGCAGCAATAAAACCTTGTTGCCAAGGCTTTATCACGAAACTCTTTCCATGGGGAGAGGTGTCTTGTCACCTGGTCTGTCACTGAGCTCAGCCAGGCTGGGTTCACACCAGGCAGCTCCTGTGCCCATCCAAGTGGTGCCATCCTTGGGCTTGCCAGCTAGAAAAGGCTTTTCATGTTGTTCCTGAGCAGCACAAAGCAAACCAGCCCCCACCAGGCCTTGCCCACGGGGTTTGTTACACCCTGGTCCTGCCCCGTCTCACAACGGGAAGGTTCCCAGGTCCTCGCACGTGTGATGCCCCTCAACCCATGGTTAAACCTCCATGTCCACTGGCAGGAGAGCCCAAGGAATTTCTGTGTTACATACCAAGCCACCCAGATGGCTGATTTCAGGGATGACCGTTTTCCCCCAGGCTGTTTAACGAAACCCAGCTGGGGATGAGAGATGAAACTTTCCCCATCTTTGGAGGACTCTCCCATCCTGCTTTTTTTTTTTTTTTTAAATATTTTTTTGGCAAGCAGCAGGGGGGTTAATCCCGAGCAGAAGCATTGCAATCCTTCTGCTGTCACCTGCCTGTCGGGTGCCTAACCTTGAATGATGCTCCCTGGCATCCCAAAGGACTTCCTCTGATTGATTGATCCCTATCCAAGTTGGCGGATGAGGGAGGATATTTACTACACAGTGGAGAGCCCTTCAGAAGGATGTTTTATTAAGGCAGCTCAGAAAACAGGAAATGCAATAAAGCACCAGAAGACAAACCAAGAGAGGTAAATGTTCCCTCCTGCCTGTGGGGCTGGACCAAGAGCCGTAATACCCCGGCCTGCACACTCACATAGGTTAATCCTTGGCCATCACCTGCAGAAAAGGGTGGCTTCTGCTTTCCAGCTGATGTATTGACCCAATAAAAGGTATTATTACATTGGCTATCACTGCTGACTACAGGAGAGTGTTTTGAAGAGAGTGATGGCTCCCTTCGGAGAGGCACAGAGCAGGAATGAGCGTGTATGGATGCGGGAGAGATTCCTCCTTCTGGAGAGAGCAGAGCTCTCCAAAGACAGTCAACCAGATTGCTTTTACTGCAGTATATCAGGAACAGCTTCTTGTCTTCTGGAGTGGATTTTGGAGAAAGGGGAAGGCAGCTTTTTGTGGTTTTAATTGGGGTGCAGTCTGTAACAGCACAGCAAGTTTAGATCCCAAGGGCGGATGTTCTCTGCTCCTGTTTGTTCCAGTGAGGCAGCTCCAAGTCTGTTTTTATCAGCAAATTGACTCCTGCAGATGATGTGGGGTGAGCCCTCGGGTCAGAAACGTGCTCTTTGCCACCGCAGGTGTGCCTGTGTGCGCGCTCACACACACAGGCACACGCTGCTCCCGCTCACCTTTCCCCGCGCAGCGCACGCTTCTTCCATAGCAATGAGGAAATATGGGATTTAAGAGCCTCTGGGATTTCTCCTGGGGCTTTGCTGTTTGTTTGATCCAGTGGCTCTGTATGTGAAATGCATGAGCAGCCCAGACTCCAGCACAGCTCCTCTCCCTTCTCCTCGGGTACTCTGAGCACGAGGGTTTTCCCTTCCCCCTGATCCTGCAACTCTCACTGCAGCAGCCTGGCATCATTTATGGGCTGGGAAGTGGTTTCACCTCCTAGCCAGGATATAAAGTGGTGGTTAAAACCTGTTCTCAGGTGATGGAGGAGGTGGCAATCTCGGGGGTGAGATGCATCACCCACCTTGTCCCACCTACAGGGCTCAGAGCTCTGGGGCTCGTGGCAGCAGGAGCTTTCCCCCATGGATCCTGTGTGTCTGGTCAATGGGGTCACCTCTGTCCCATCACCGTGGGGACCCAGACGTGCCTCGTGGCTCAACCCTGAAGTTCATTACCTGGAATTATGCACAACAAGGGGCCAGGCTGTAAGAACACAGACGTGCATCTGCTCTCGGCAGCATAATCCTTCCCACCTCCGCTCCTGCCGCAGGATCCGTGCAACAGCTTCAAGGCAGGACCCCGCGGGATTAGCTGGACCCGGTTTTGTTCCCTCAGCTGGAGGTGTGCGGATTACAAGGAGGGGCGCGTGGCAGATTAGTCGGCGCTGATTATCTCATTCACAAAAAAACGTTCCTTTTGAAACTTCAAATGGCGCTTCTGAGCTTTGTGATGCAAGGACAGACGGAGAGGGATGCTAAGCCATTCAATCTGGAGCTTTTGTGGTCAAACGCGCTGGAAATGCCACGGTGATTATAAAACTTGCTTCGCATTCCCAGCACTTTGTGCCTGCCAAGCTGGCAAACACCCCTCCCCCTGCCCCTTTTTATTAGGTTTTATTTTTATAAAGGTTTATATTGTATACATATTACATACATGCGGGCACAGGTAACACCGAGAGGAGCTAATAGCAGTTTTAAATTCCAAACGGATTTTTCCTTCCTATGAATCGTGGAGTAAATTTGCCACAACAGCCCGAAAACAACCTCCCCCTCCCCACCCCATCACGTCTGTGGCTGGAGGGGGCAGCAGACCAGGACGCTCAGCTCACACTGATCAGCCAGGACTCCACATCAGTCTCCTCTGCCCCGAAAACATTCGCAGCAGAGGTCAGGGCTGGTGCAGCAGCAGCCCGAGGTAATTCCAGTCGAGATGCCGGACGCAACCCAGAGGTGAGACAAGGAAGAAAAGGAGAGGAGCTGGCAGGGGGGGAGTGTTAATGGAAGAGTTTCCACTGCCTGAGCTCTGGATGAAGGCTCCTGGTGGTCTTTAGTTACCTCTGACAAGTCCTTGTGCCGCTGGATGTAAAAGCAAGTGCCAAGTGTGTGTCACCAACACGTGGCCTGTGCTTGGAGCCGATGCCCTCCCAGCACATGGGGTCGTGCTGAGAGCTCTGTTTTCCTCCTTCCCCCCTTGTTTTTCACTCTAATCCATTCTCACCTCATGCAGTCTCTCTAGCTCTGCCACTCCCTTTTCCATGAGAGCTGGGGAGAGGCAGAGCAGCACCCACACCCTCTGTGGTGGTACCAGTGCTGAGGCACAGGACAAGTCAGGGGAGAGCCATTCGCTGCCAGCTCCTCATGCAAAATTCCTTGGGTGAAACCAACCCCTTGCTCCTCACATCTCCAGCCTGCAGGAGCCCAGCTCTGCTTCACCACTCTCCATCCATCTATCCGTCCACCTGGGGGTCCTCCAGGAATTCCCTCTTAGGATGCAGCTCACAGTCAACTGTTAGAGGCTTTTTGGGGTTTTCTGCATTGGGACTCTACCTCTGTGCATCAAATACAGGAAGATGGAGAGCAGCTGGGACATCAGGATATTCATCATGCTCCTTTCTAACCATGTCTGTGTAGTTTATATATTTTTAGGACGTGGCCACATGATGGATATTGGTATATTTAAACTAATTTTTCTTGGATGCTCAGGTTCATGGGTGTTTGTCAGGTAGGCTGAGGACTGATGAGCAGTGTTTGCATCGTATATTTGACATTGACCATCAGAAGGGTCCTTTGGTTTGAGCAGTCTGTGGTTTTCCACAGATTCTAAAAGATCTGGGGTCTTTTTCCAGACCTTATTCATGAGGGCAGCTGGGCTCTTCTGGATATCTATGGATTATCAACTAGAAACGAAGGATTAGCATCCAAACCCCAAGATTTCTGGAGGAGTTTGGACGTGAAGATTTTCTCTCTGTTTTGCTTTTCTCCTCTTTGCTTCTGAGCTTGATTTCTGCAGTTTTGTTCTTTGCCCTCTGGTTTGTCCCAGGCCCGGTAGCAAGTGGTCAGAGTGGTTGGATGCCAAGAAGAAAATCGTTCCTGTGTCACTCTGAGCCAGCACAGTTTGCAGGTGTTTTGGGAAGGAGGGCAGGGAGCACCTCTCCTCCCTGGAAAATCCTCACTGGCCCAAATTTCTCTGCAGAGAGGGCAAAAATGATATATGTGAAAGGCAGAGCTGTGAAGTAGTAAAATTATGAGGACAGGCTGGAATTAATTTGGCAGCTCAAGGGGTACAACTGAGAAGCTACCAGGACATCTCAGGAATTGCTGCCAGTGGCTCTGTGGTTGTTCTGCAGAAAGGGCATGATCCTGGTCAGATCTGGGCTGGCACAAGGAATGTCTGTAAGAAAGGTGCTAAAGCAGGGATTTTTCCCAGTGAGGAAGTGCAATGGAAATGACAGGGAAGAGTTGGGAGGAGTCACTTGGGTGGAAATGAGTCATAAGTCAATAATGCTTGGCAGGGAGAGTTTGTCAAAGCAAAGAGGAGAGTGTTGTATATTAGGAGCTCTGTCCACCTCTGGCTCATGTAGCCAGAAGTGGGAACCGTGCTCTTGTACGGATATTTCACAGAGAGAATATTCCTGGAAGTTGGAAGGGACACAGAAGGATCATCGAGTCCAACTAAACAGATAGTTGGGCTGGGAGGAACAGGAGGGACTGGGAAACTGCAGGCCAACTTTTAGTTCAACCACAGCTTTCTTTTATCACTTTGAGTGAGGGAGGTAGAGATGTGGGCTAGAATTAACATAGAAAACCCTTAGATACTATTTTGATGGCTACAAGGAGTAAAAATTGGTAGAAACAAAAGGAAACAGAGAATGCTGGAGCACCTTTATGTGGAATGGGATGAGCCTGACACCAATTTCAACCTGTCTTGCCAGCACTGGCTTTACTGGAGGGCCACCTGCAATATCTCCTGGTATGGTGTATAATAATCTTTCTCACAGTGAAAGACCCCCAAAGCAAGTGGTTATTAAAGATCCTGTGCTCCTTTCAAAAGGTACCTTTAAGTTTTCATCTTGGCTCACTTTCCTTTCCAGGTTTTTTTGGTTGGTTGGTTGGTTGGTTGGTTTTTGTTGGGGTTTTTTTGTATTTTTTTGTTTGTTTGTTTTTTTGATTTTTTTTTTTGGTTGGTTGGTTGGTTGGGTCTCCACTAAAGTACCCCTTGGCTCTGACATTTGTTCTTAAACTTCTGCCACATTGCACCTCGGAGGGAGGCATTTCAATAATCATAGAATCATAGAACCATAGAATCAATTGGATTGGAAAGGACCTCTGAGATCATCAAGTCCAACCCTTGATTGACTACTGCTGTGGTTCCCAGACCATGGCACTGATGCCACATCCAGTCG